GTTGCCTCCCGTCATTCACGTGGTTCACATCCATGGCCAGACCTTGCTGGAAAATGGCACTCAACAGCACCAGTTAGGGGTCTGGCCCCTTCTGCCTGGTAAAGATCTGGGTCATAAAAAGAGACTTCCACTAAAATAATGGCGACGGAAGGCTATCTTAGCACCTGTTACCCTCATTTCCTCCTTGTGCATTTACTTCTGAGCGGTCAAGCATGTGTTCTGGCCTGGATCCTGGGCAAAGCCACATAGCAAAGCTGCATGCAGAGTATGAAAACGCCAGCTAGTGTATGCCGTTTTGCAGTGCCGCGCAGGCTAAGCGTGCAGCCGAACTGGCTCTCCAGAGATGCTACGTCTAATGAGGTTCTTCCAAGCCACTGTATGTCACGCAGGCCAGGTCTTAAGCAGAGTACAGAATGAGTCCCACAGGTCCCAGGCAGCCAAAGCTTCCTGTGGAGGGGGAGATTAGACACTTACTAGGGTTTGGGGGATTCTTGATTTCTTGACTTCTACTCCCCACTCTATCACCCTGATACCTTCGGAAAGGTGATGACAGGAATCCTAATCTTAAACTGACTCGTGAGGCTGTTTGGGAGGAAAGAAGATTCTTTTTTTAACGACTGTAAAAGCTAAAGATTAACAAGTGTATTTAGAGCTCTTCATGTGCAAAATAATGATAAAGTTTAAACAAACTACAGTCATCTAAAAGGATCGTTATGTGCCAATGGTTGTTTTAAATGTATCTCTGCCTAGGTGTGTAGGTAGCGTGTGAGTGCTAGATACCACTGCTCCTCAAACTGTACTGGATATAACAAAAGCCCAGGAAGCCAGCTAAAGGCAGACGCTAAGGCAGAGATGTTGCTGTCTTGGGCAAGGGCCCAGGAGTCTGCATTTTTAACAAGCAGCCTACCTTCCACACTGAGAAACTAGTGAAGGCAGTCCCTTTACAGGACTTTGGGCAAGAAGCTGCTGTGTGAGTCAGCCTTGGATAGAGGCACAGAAATCCAAATAGGCTTGGTTCTTGTTTGTTTTAAACGTGCCAGTGACTTACTAATAAAGCTACAAAGACCCATTCTATTCAAATCAAGGACACCAGAACAGTCAGCCTCTCCACGCCTGCGAGAAGCACTGAGTAGCTGGGATTGGCTGGTACACCTAAACCTTCAAATCTCTGTGTTTGAGTTGGAGAGGGGAAGGCCTGAGACCTTTGTTAGCGTTTGAGAAGGATGACCATCAGCTATTAATTTTTACTCACAATCTGGGAAACGGTCACAAATTACAGTCAGCATAATTTAAGTATTAACTGGCAGTGGGTAATATTCAATACCAGAATGGATAATCAGAGGTTTCAGAAATTCATTTTTTCAGTTATGTTCTGAAACAATTTATGTACATCTCTATCCAAATGCATAAACTATTGAAAATTTGAAACAGGGGAGAAGGATGTTTTATTTTAATTTTCTTATATAAAAAAGAAAACTAGTGAAATGAAGAGAGAGAAAGGAAACATGAACATTATTTCTGAGCCCAATGATAGGTCATTCAAAGTCGCTTTGATACTTAAGACTACGAAGCTATGTTATGTGTGGGTTAACTTGTAACTATTGAGATAAGTGAAAGCTTCTTTCTAGTAAGGGGTGTTGGAGGTTGTTCAAAGTCCTGGCGCAATTTATTTGTTGTGGTGGTGGTTGTGGTTGTTGTGGCTGTGGCTGCTGTTGCTTTGCTGTTGCTGTTGTTGTTTCGATCTGTTTGTTACGCCTCTGGGCCCGCCTAAAGAGAAATGGATAACTCTTAAGGTCTTATTCTAAAGCTTCTTGTGATGCAATGATTACGATTCTTTCCTAGCTGTCAACTAATAGCGACTTGTTAATCTTTGAGTATGTAATGTCCTTCACTCTCTATTTTAGGTTCATTTAAAACTCTTGAAATGAAGGCATCAAAACCTGGCTGGTGGCTCCTAGACACAGAGGTTGGAGAAAACCAGAGAGCGGGGATGCAAACGCCATTTCTCATCATAGACAGAGGTATCAGCTCAGAGCCACCTGATATGTGGAGCAGGAGCGTCCTGTCGCTAGAATATTACCAACTTTAGACAGGAAATATTCAACTCAGAACTCTGATATGACAAAGACACAGTCTGTAGCAAGAAATGATTTCATTCTGGCCATGGTCTAATTATACTGCATATGTCAGTCATCTAGGAAACGTAACCCGAACGGTTTGGCCCAAAGGCGTTCCTCTCAATTGGAACCAACATAAAGTATCCGCCTTCATGATTTGTGATCCACGGGAAAGTGCATGTAAGAAATCCTCGAGATGCCTAGCACAGAAGAGGGAAAAGATAGCAGGAATTCAACAATAACCAAGATAGTCGCTGAACTTGGCACCTAAGTATTTGAGAAACAGTATCCACTTGTCTGTTTAGCCAACCAGCCAGCATTTATTAAGCATCCAATGAGTACCAAGCACTGTGCCAATATCCAGATAGTTCAGTAGCTGGATTCCCTTCCATAATCATGTAAATAACCCTATAACTTTCAGGTGAATTTTTTAGAACATAGTCTTTTGAGGGCTACAACTTGATGTTGCAAAATGGCTTAAAGATAGAAACAGATGGAAATCGGTTTAAAAACTAATTTGATTTCAGGATTTCAGTTGTTTTCCTCTAGGGTGTCACTATTTCTATTAAAGCACCAGTCTTTATTAGTGCATTTACCACTTTATGATCAGATATATTGAAGTCAGTGCTACACAAGGTAGGTGACAGTATCTAATTACTACCTACCAGAGGTATAATCTCTAGCCATGGAGCTTTTATCTTGTTAAATGTATTTTCTAAGCAAAAATTATTCATTGCTCTGTTTTTTGTAGAATGTAAGATGCCAATGGGACTAAGCACTGGCATCATAGCTGATTCGCAGATCAAGGCGTCTGAGTTTTCGGGTGAGTAGCAGCATCGTAGACTGTGAAAGCCACCACCTACAACTGTGAGTGCGCAGCGTGCCAAACCACCCGCCTGTTGATTCTATGGGCCCTGTTCCTCTCCAGGCTCTTCCCTACCACAATGTAGTAGAACAGCTCCATTTGAGGTGCCTATCTGGTAGAGCAAAGAGCACTATGCAAGAGCTAAAAACTAATCGACACCCCCATATCACTTACATCCCCTCTAGTGTATAATGTTCCCAGAGAGTCTCTCTCAGGGAAGACCAAGAGCTAGGAGTGCTTGGTAACTCTGCACAGGCAGCCCAACCTCTCAGCAGATTGGGTAAGAACACACAGCTTGCTGGTATGACCGTGTGCCCTTTTCCAAATCTCTCCCCATTTATTCCCATTCTGAGTTTGATCACACATGTAATATTCCAGCCAGACTCCCAAGGTCTTATCAGCCATGTGTTAGGGTCGCCATTAATAGGGCCCTTTGCTGTGCCGACCATTCATCTATTCAAGAAACTCTTGCTCACTCACTGTGAGTCAGGAACTCCTAATTTTCCTCACTCTGCTCCAAGTAAGCTCACTGTTTTCCAAGATCAAAAGGTCAACTGCAAAGGGTCTGAGGCTCCCAAAAATCCTCCCTGTTAAGCAGGGACACTCAGCAGCAACCACATCAACATAACTGAGGAAAGATAAACGTGATCTGGATGCAAGAAGCGGGTGGTAGTTGACAGCTGACCAAGCACAGACCCGAAGCCAAGATTTCATCATCATGGACTACGACAGTAGCTGAGGCCTGCATCAACTGTCTGGTCTCCTAACTGCATAAAACTGTCCTTTGGGGCTGACCTCACTTGAGAAATTGCTAATTGTATTTTTTTTTTAATTCAGAATGAATTTTTTTCTTCCTTTGGATTTAGGTTATTGGGAGCCCAAATTAGCAAGATTAAACAATGGTGGATCATATAATGCTTGGATAACAGAAAAAACATCAACAGAATTTGACTCTAAACCTTGGATCCAGGTATGACTTATTAATCTGATTATATTTACTGCTATTGTAATAATAAAAATAACACTAACTTAATAATTTTTTCTTGTTTTCTTGCAATGTTGTTAGGGGAAAGAGCAATTACTAGGTGCCAGGCATTATTCTAAGTACAAAACATACTCAAAATGAACCTTATGAGGTTAATTCTAGTAATATCCCATTTTAGATATGAAAAAAACTAAGACATTGAGGGATTAACTAATTTCCCTGTCACACACAGCTAGTTAGTGGTTGAGCTGGGATTCAAGTGCAGGTACTTTGTGCTCAAACACAAATTGCATTTAGCCATTTTATTAGTTTACTAAGACCTTGGATGCTGGTTCTTTAGTGCTAAAGAAAGCTGGTTGCACAGTGAATTAAGGCAGTGACTTGTTGACAAGGACGATTCTGTTTAATGGCTTTGCTATAATGCAGGTGGACATGCAAAGGGAAATCCTGGTCACAGGGATCCAGTCCCAAGGTGCCAAACACTACCTGAAGTCCTACTACACCACCGAGTTCCGTGTGGCTTACAGCTCCGACCAGACCAACTGGCAGATCTTCAAAGGGAACAGCACCAAGAACGTGATGGTCTGTGCCACTGCTCCTCTAGCGTCTACGCGCTCGCCTCCAGACTGCGACCCTGCCCACGACACTTTCTTTTTAAAAAACACCTTTCTGGGCACCAGAAATATGAATGGCTTTCTTCCGGCCTTATGAATGAAAGTGGTAAAATGATGAGTCTGTATATTACACATTAAAGGGATAGGCCTGACTTCTGACACTTCAAAACTCCACAAAACTTTTTTAAAAAATCACTTTATCATCAAACTAAATACCCAGACTTCTCAGATTGGCAGATGGTGTGCAGCAGTGCAGGATATCTGGTCTTGTGCCTGAAGGAGTCCACATTAAAAATATGCCACCGAGAGTTTTGATTCTACTAACTTTCTATATTATCTACACCTAATTTTGTATGTTATCACTTAGCTATTTACAGTAATAATTATTTGCACTATACCTTAAGACAGATAAGAAAAATCTTGATTTATGGCTCTTACTAATCCGTATTGGAGAGAGAGCACAGATTACAGTTAGAATCCATAGCTTAAAGATTTTTGTGTCTATATTCATGAGGGATATTGGTATGTAGTTTTATTTTCTTGTACTGTCTTTTCTGGTTTTAATATCAGAGTAATACTAGCTTCATAAAATAAATTGAGAAGCATGCTCTTTTATTCTATTTTCTGGAAGAGATTGTCTAGAATTGGTGTTAATTCTTTAAACATTTAGTAGAATTCACCAGCGAAACCATGTGAGCCTGGCGATTTGTTTTCTGGGAGTTTTTAAATTACAAATTCAATTTCTTTAACAGTTACAGGCTATTCAAATGATCTATTTCACACTGGGTAAGTTGAGATAGTCTGTGTTTTTTCAATAAATTGGCCCCTTTCCTCTAAAGTTCTTAAGTGTATGTCTATAGAGGATTTATAGTATTCCCTTATTATCCTTCTTATGTCCACAGGGTCTGTTGTGATATTGCCTATTTCATGTCTTTTTGCTTTGTTAGTCTTGCTAGAGTTGCCAATTTTTTTTTTTTTTTTTTTTTTTTTTTTTTTGCCTTTTCAAAGAACTGGCTCTTTGTTTCATTACTTTTGTCTATTGTTTTCTGTTTTCTGTCTTACTTAGTTATGGACTTAGCCTGCTCTTCTGTTTGGCTGGTCTTTCTGACATTGCTCTGTCAGGGGAAGGGGGTGGGATGCAGCCTCATTACTGCCAGGCCAGGTCAAAGTCCAGGTTCCCCAGCTGAGGGGGCTGGCTGCCCCTTTGCTGTGGTGTGGGGATGGGACACTGCAGGGGTGGAGGCCTTGTGAGCAGCTGGTGAGGCCAAAAGTCCTGGGTCCCTGAGTGGTCCTCTGACACAGCCCCTGTGAATGTGCTGAGAAGCCTCATCACAGTCCTGTGACCTGCACATCAAGGTCTCCGTGGCCTTTGTGGCTGCTGGGTGAAGAGGGGCCACAGTTGTCTCTACGGTGTTTAACTTGAAGTAGAGCAATTACTGTCTGAAAATTTTGTCTTGCCAGGCTGCCCTTCCTTAGTTTTGAAGCTAGAGAAAGCAGATTTTGGCTGGGGCTGTTCTGTCTGTACCCATGGGTATTTCCTGGTTTCTGGCTTATTCATTTCCAAGTTTAGGATATGAGGCAAAAAGGAAACCCAAGGAACCCAGGGCCATGTAACTCCTTGGATCCCAGAATCCTGGCCAGTGTCCTTTCTTCTCGCCACCTTTCAGAGTCTTAGGTTTTCAGTTGTACTTAACAGGAAGAATAGGGCAAGTAGGTCTATTCCATATTCCTGAAGTGGAAGTATCCCCAATTATTTTTTAAGATCAAATTAATTTGGTTTTGGCCACATGAAAACTGAACATTACAATATTAAATGAGACCAAAATTTTACTATAAAATCAATTTATAGAGAATTTTTATATAATTGAGCTTTTCTCTTTTCTTCTAGTATTTTGATGGCAATTCAGACGCCTCTACAATAAAAGAAAATCGGTTTGATCCACCTATCACGGCTAGATATATTAGGATCTATCCAACTAGATTCTATTACAAACCTGCCCTTCGGTTGGAGCTGCAAGGCTGTGAGATTAATGGTAAGGAAAAAAGATGCATTATCATCTCACCACCACTCAGAGAATCAGGATTCAGGGGTATGGGAGAAGGGGCAGAATTTTTAGTTTTCGATCACTTAGGCTCCTAGAAAAACCTTGGTGAAGTAGAAGTTCCACCCAGGAACTAAACTCTCCTTGTGACCTAGACTCACCCCGGTTCTACCAGCCAGACGGCAGGCAGCATCTCTCTGAATAGCACCTGGAGGACATGGACACCACCCTGACCCTCTGGCGAAGGGCCCCAGCTTAGAATGACCTCAGTCAGCTCATTTTCAATTGATTCAAACTAGGCCCCACTCTTCCAAAGTCCTTCAGGTCACTCAGACTTTAATAACAACAGGACCTAGCAGCACTCCTGGACACTGGTGTTCGACGAATGTTTTGGAAGTCTAAGTCTGCTTCCCAACTTCCCGAAACCTTGATTGGGCTCTGCAGTCTGTTTCACATCCTCTGTAGGCACCCAAGCCTTTTCCATGTAAGCTGCTATTTTTCAGGGGATACACTGCATAACCTGTGGCATAAATAAATCCAGGTAACCATAAATGGCCATAATAAAATCCTACTATATATAATAAAGATCTTTAAGAGTCTTATCTACCATTTTCCTTCTCTGATTCTCAAAGCAAGACTTTACAAAATTTTTCACTGCATAGCACATATAGAAAATAATATTTGTCTAGCAGTCTTAGGTAAAAGAACAAAGTAGGTAACCCAGGGCTTGGCTGATCCAGACAGCACCTGGCTGACCACTCAGGGCTGAGGGGGCAAGGAGATTGTGCACCAGAAACTTGCTTTGACACACTCATTCGGGAGCTACAGTACCTTCTCTCAGAGTGGAGGGAAGAGCCACCACTCACAGTGGAGAAAGTAGCTGAATCAGTTTCTTATCAAAGCAGATGACGTTGCAGTACACTCTGATACTCATGAGGCATACAGATACGGGCATTTTGCCAGTGCCCAGATAGTAGTGGTACGAAACATCTCCCCATGAAGCGCAAATTTGGTACAGGCAGGAACATTCCTTAAAACAGCTCTATAAATCATTGTTATTTCTTTCCATATGGTATATAATGTAAATGGTTGTTTGTTCAGATCATAGAGTCAAGCTATACTAAAATGGGACATTCAACTGTTTTAGCAATAGGTTTTCTTTTTAAGACTTTTTTTTCCCCCATGGAGAAAGTGAGGTATCACTGCAAGAATATGCCTGCATAATTTACTAGCAAGAACAAAATGTCACCAAGATGATGGTCATGGGCAGTCAGCCGAGCTCATTCACTAGCTATGGTTCTTACATAAAACATGAATCACCCTCAAGGGGATGAAAGTAAAACACTAAATGTGACTACCAATTGTCCACTACATCCTCTTCTTTGTAGCTTTTGTTAGAATAATTTTTTTTTATATACATAGATAAGAGTATTGTCTACTATCTCAAAGCAAAAACCTAAGTTCTATAACTCTGTGAAGGAAGGAAACAAGTTTAGACATTTAGAACACTTAGGTATTTGATGTCAGAGTGCCTGGGCTCAAATTTAGTTTCTGATTCTTCTAGCAGTGTTCTATTAAGCAAGTTACTTTTTCTTGCTGTGTTTTTCTTCTTCGTAAAATGAAGATAATTGGGAGCATTAAGTAATAATACATATGAAGCCTAAAAACAGGATTTGGTACTTGGACAACAAGTGTTGATTGTTGTGATGGTTGCTTCTGTTGTAACTTAGTAACATTATTCCTTATGTCCTTTGCAGTACAAAACACTGTGCAGGGAATATTGGTGGTGCATATTTAATCACATTGCTCTCTCTCAACAGGATGCTCCACCCCGCTTGGTATGGAAAGTGGAAAGATAGAAAACACGCAAATCACAGCCTCCTCATTTAAAAAGTCTTGGTGGGGAGATTACTGGGAACCCTTCCGTGCCCGCCTGAACGCCCAGGGCCGTGTGAATGCCTGGCAAGCCAAGGTGAATTATTGTTGTCCCCCTGTGAACAGAGTTCACTCAGCCTTCCAGAAAAAAACAAAGGCTCTCACTACAGGGAACATGGGGCCTGGAAAGCCAGACAATCATCTGTTTCTGCAGAATATGACCCTAGGCTGAGAATCTTGGATCCTGTTGAATTGATAGTCTCAGCTCTAACTTTGGCTCACAGAGAAGTCATTTATCATCACTGTGGTTCTTTGTCTCATCTTGATTTAGACCAGGGATGGGCAAAGTTTTTCTGCAGAGATACAGATAATTAATATTTTAGGCTTCATGAGCCATACATTCCCTGTCATAACTACTCAACTTTGCCACTGTAGTAGGAAAGTAGCCATAAACATTATGTAAATGAATGCTCACGACTGTGTTACAATAAAACTGTACTTACAAAAACAAGCAGAAGGCTGGATTTGGCCTTGGGCTATAGTTTACAAACCCCTTTTGAGACAACTTACATTAATGATAAATGATTTAGATTTGCAACATCTTCCCTCCCTCCCCCACATACAATTTAGTAATACTTTTCATTTTCTTAAGAGTGCCATGTTTTGTTCCCACTTTTTGAGAACTCTGCAACATTCCTTTAGACAATTGACAGCATGGTAAAACACTACAAAACCAGGGTTATAAATCAGTGATCTAAATTGAAGAAACATATTCCAGAGAGTTATATTGCCCCTGATATTAGCCCATGGAGTAGTACAGGTGACTTCGTTTCAGGGTAATTCTTAAGAATTGACTCACTTTATTTCACTCTTCAACTGACCTGAGAAATCAGAATGGAAGCTGAAATCAAAACAATCCAACTTAATCCAAGATCCCCATCTTCTATCCTCCTAACTCCCTCCTTTAAGATACCTACATTCCGAGTCCCTGGACTCTCTATGGGTTTCCACATCCTATCCTGAAAGTAGGTCACCAGGAAGAAAAGGTAACTGTGGAACTAGTGGAACAAATAAAAAAGCCTGGACCCCATACAGGTGGTCTTAGGGATCAGCCAATGTCTACACCTTGAAACTCATTCTAACCATCATAGAATCGCAGACTGTTAGAACAGCAAGGGATTCTACACAGCCTCTGGTCCAGAATTTTCATCTGAAGTCTAAACTCGAAGGATAGTAAATAATTTTGGCTTAGTCTAGTGGCAGAATCGGAATCCCATTCTCCCAATAAACAGACCAGTGCTCCTTCCACCATTTAAAGCACCCCAAACTCCTCACCGTGCAATTCTGCAGGAGAATCTGAGACCCAAAAAGCTAAAATAATAAAAGTAATGTTACATTATATTTATATAATTTTTAAAAATAAAGCAATTTTAAAAAGAAAATAAGAAGTTAGAGAAAGGGTGTCTTTGAATTCTTTCCCAGGTGACCCTTTAGACCTGTTTATGGTATAACCTCGTCACCTCGCCCTCCATTTTACAGCATTGAAAAAGAATTTGCTCCATAAATGATTTGCTTTTAGTCTTTGTGAAGTAATACGCACTCCAAAGATGAAGTGCTAATTTTAATTTTTAATGCTGTCATTTTAAATCTGGAATTTTAGGTCATAACCATTTGTTTCACTTAACCTATTAGCATGAAATGTCTTTATAAGGTCTCTTTAGGGAGACTGAAAATCTAAACTAGACATATGCAGGCACGCATGCAGACTGAAGGGTCTCTACCACATTTATGCCTACAAAAAATCATTTATGCCTACAAAACTCCTCTAGCTACCTATATTCTGTATCGCTAGTACAATCTTGATTTGAAGACACACTAAAACACCACCAAATCTCACTAGAGGGTGTTACAAAATTAACAAAAAAATTATCTAATTTTAATTCAATGAATTTTCTTTAAAAATTCATGAAGCATGTGACTTTGTGTAACATACATATGTGCATACATATGTACACATACAGACATGCACATGAGTGATGTCGAGAAAATACAGTATTCATTATCTCATATAGAGTTCGCTGAGAGTATGGGGCATGATAACTCTCCCAAAGTTGAAATTCATCTCAGGTTACTCTAAAACTCAGTTAGTCCTTCTGATCATCTTTCTCCTAGTGCATATTGCCAACCATGTAATTAGGCATTGCGTTAGGCCAGAGACAGAACAATTGCTATGTCATTTCAAGCCCAAGGTATAGCTTTATCGGGTTTCTCAAACATATTTATTTGAAATATCAGGAAAGAAGAAACTAGACTATTTCTCCTACTTGACATTAGCAATGAAAAGAAAAGTGAGGCTCTTCTAAAATAAAGGATACTATCCAATTCTTTTCCAGATAATCCTTCAGTAATATCAGTAATATCATCACAGCATTTAAACAAACTCACTTAAGAGAATAACATTTACAAGTAATTTACCAATTTAATATTTTTTCCTCAAGTAAATTTCTTTTGTTTACTCACCAAATATTTATTGAACACCAACTGTGTGCCATGCATTGTGCTAAATACCTGGAAACAAAACTAAGGCGGCCCCTGTCCTCAAAGAGTAAGGGATACAAAAAGTGGGTAAATAAACAAATATGCAATGAGTGTAGAACGTGTGAAATACTCCAGCAGAAGCTCATACACGCGCTATGACAACAAATGAAAAGGAACAGGGAAGGCTTCAAGGAGAGAAGGAAGCCTAAGGGATGGAACAAAACAAACCCTCTGAGCTCTGTGCATTTCTGAGTGTCTTGGTCTAAAAAAAGCAAGGGTTTTAACGTCTGTCTTACCCATGTGTTCTTACCATTTTCATAGGCAAACAACAACAAACAGTGGTTACAAATTGATCTGCTCAAAGTCAAGAAGATAACTGCCATCATAACACAGGGTTGCAAGTCTCTGTCCTCTGAAATGTATGTGAAGAGCTATGCCATCCACTACAGTGACCAGGGAGTGGAATGGAAACCTTACAGGCACAAGTCCTCCATGGTGGACAAGGTACAGGGTGCCCTCTGGGCAAAGGAAAGCAACTGGGAAACTTGCGTGGTGACAAAAGCACCTTGCGCCTGCCAGTAGCTCTCCACACCGTGCGCACGCATCGCTTCTTTAAGTCTTCTGCGCGCTAACGCCGCAGGCTCCTGGGTTGGGGACAGGGGCCCCGCAGCTTTCAGCTTTGACTGAGCTGCCTGCAAAACAGCGAGAACGAAACACTAGGGGGTGGTGGGAGGCTTCACTAGCCCCGACTGAGAAAGATGGGGCAGGGGTTGCCTCCGTCTGCTTGGGCTGCTGTAACAAACTACCGTAGATTGGGTGGGTCCTAGATCGGGGTGCCAGCACAGTCGAGTTCTTGGCGAGAGCCCACTCTCTGGTTATGTCCTCATAGGGCCTTCCTTGATGTGTGCACGCATACACACAGAGAGAGAGCCCTGTCTCTTCCTCTTTGTATAAGTGTAATTACCTCTCAAAGGCCTCATCTCTTAATAGCATCCCATTTATATGATCTATCAAATTTTATATATGAATTTTGGGAAGACACAAACGTGCAGTCCATAACAGGAGTCTAGAAAATATTCTACTGTAAAGGTCTGGAATAACACCACATTAGCATTGCCTTGGAAATACTTGTTACTCACCACTGGTCAAATACCCATGGCCATAAAACTTTCTGTGTCTTTGTGACTGAGCAGAAAGGAATTTTCTTTACTGACTAGGAGACTAATGTCCTACAAGATGAATTACTCCTCTATACTCTTCAGTTCCCAGTTATGTGGCTTTGAAGTGCCACGAGAGGCAAAGCCAGATGAGCTAAATCACAGGAGTGGGAATTGAGTTGAAGCTAACGGGAGGGGCAACGCAGGAGAAGGGGGTGGGCATCTATCCAACACTCATCATGGGCTCGGCTCTTAGCGAATTTGAACCTCTCGTTTTAAACCCCTGGGCTGGCCGTTTCTTTGGTTTGGTTTATTTCTCATTGTACCATGATGTCTGCATAGCAGGGTAAGCACACTGTCATAAACAAATAGTGATTACACATAGCTTCTGCTGTGTGTAAACGCTGGGGAACTTGCTGTAGGTCAAAAAAAAAAAAAAAAAGGAGGGGGGGCACGGTTTACCTGATATAGGACATACCTGAAAAGGAGAAATAAAAATGCATGGTTGCATTTCATTTAAAATTTTAGTAATAGCTAAGCATTTATTGGCGCCACTATTTGGCACTTACTAGGCACTTGTCATATGTTTACATACATTTTCAATGCTTACAACTTCTATGAGGTATAATTTCATTACCCCCATTTTGCCAATGAGAAATGGAGAATCGGAGAATTTAAGTAATTTGCTCAGAGTCACACAGCTAGCTGCAAAGGGCCTAAGGGCAGAGATGGTTTTGAAACTGCTCCGTGATATCATACCAAATGTCTTTATTTTTCCCTAATTTGACTCCGATCACTGGCGAGGTGAAATCTCTAAAGAGGTCTGTCTGGAGTGTGATTTCATTATCGATTGAGGATCATCTCTTTGACAATATTATACATGTTCTTCGATGGCCTCAGTTTGAACTTAAAGGACAAAAAAATTATCTGTAAGATTTTTATACCCATTGTACCATCATTAAGGATTTTCTCATATTTTGCTTTCAGATTTTCGAAGGAAATAGTAATATCAAAGGACATGTGAAGAACTTTTTCAACCCACCAATCATTTCTAGGTTTATCCGCATCATTCCGAAAACATGGAATCAAAGTATTGCACTTCGCCTGGAACTCTTTGGCTGTGATATTTACTAGAATTGAATATTCAAGGAGACAAGAAGGACTCTTAAAGATATCAAACTACTTAGAGTGGGCAATGTGTTTTATAGCTATGTTAAATTCTCTATCAGAGAATAAAATTTTATATATGAAACTTTTATAATGTAACTCCTTGCTACCAGTAAGTGAAATGATGACTATTATTTCTGCATTAATTTGAATATAAATGGCTTATCTTTCACAATGATTAAATATGCTATATAAAGTAATATATTCATGTAGTTAATGTGCTTTCTGTTAGTTCTTTTAAACCCTAAACACATTAATAAAAGAAATATTATTTTTTAAAACAATTTCTAGACCTGGATAGCTTTCACACCTACATTTTTCTTTAAAGAAACTAGGATTTAAGAGTAAAGGAAACAAGTGAGATTTTTAAATCGTTGACTTCTTGACAGTAAAAAGAAAAACAGTCTTACCATATGAAACAGCGAGTGCTTAAAATACCCTGTCTCACCTACGTGACAATGACTTTTCTGACTCTTCATGAGGAAAGATACAAGTAAGCATATTTTCAATTGTCCTGTTGGACCTGTGAATCGGGCCTGGTCTCCCTTAGGACTAGGACAGAGCCAAGATAACCATGAGAGAACTGAACATGGAACCTTGGCTTCATTCTAGCTGACACCACATGGCACAGTTTCAAAACATAGGTTCACGTAAGGGAAAGCCACAATCTGTAAAAGGAGCATTGGAACTGTTGGCCTAACTGCAGCTACTTCTGCTAGAACTGGCCCCTGGCCAAACTGGCAAGCAGTTGAAGTGCCCGTCTCTCTACAGCCCCAGCCTCCTCCTCTCCCTGCCTCAGCACCTTCCCCTTTCAGCCCTCCCTTCCCTGGGAATTTGGCATCCAAAGATCCTATGCACACCATGAGATCAGAGAGCCTCCTGGGATCTTTTAAGTCACATGGGATAGAAAGTCACTGCTGAGGCTATTTCTGTCAAACAAACCACCCCAGAACTTGGTGCGTAAAACAAGTCAAGAGGAGGGAGCCAACACCACCAGTCCTGTTAAAGGCTAAGCCCAGGACTGGCACAATCTCAGTTCTGCCGCACGTGACTGCGAGTCACAGGCCAGCCTGGATGCAGCATAGGCTGGGAGGACACATGGGGCATGATTCACTGGAACACCTTTACGTACCAATTACCAGAGTTACCTATTGTACCTTTATGACTATCATTTTTAATTCTCTATTGGGTAAATCACTTATCTCTGTTTTATTAAGTTGGTTTGTGGATATTTATCTTGTTTCTTTGTTTGAAATATATTTCCTTGTTTCTTCCCTTTTCTTGATTCTCTGCCTTGGCCTCTGTGCATTAAATAAAACAGCCACTTCTCCCAGTCTTGACATACTGGACTCACATATCTGAACCCCATGAGTCAGCTCTGCCTGAGCTCCTTGGTTGTTCCTGTGATTGTCCAAGTCACTTTCTTTGTTCCTAGTGGTTCCCAGCAAATGAGGGCATGCCAAGACCTGCCATTGTCCCTAAGGCATGAGGAATGCCCACAGAGCTGTTCAGGCTCCAGGAGGACAATAACCGCCGGCCCCATCGGCTCCCGAAGACTTCCGGGCAGCAGGTCAGAAAGCCAGGACATCAGACGTGCCGTCCAGTCCCCATCGGGGAGAAACCTGGAGCTGGGCATCTGCCTGCTCGCTCTATGCTGAGCCAGAGGGGACAGTCACTGGGAAGACTTGTGCTCCCACTGAGAGCCACCTCTTGGTTTTGTGTGGCCCTGGGGGACTCGTAATTGCCAAGCCTCCTTAGCACCCAGAGCTAGGTGATTTGGGAACCAGTCCCGCGTGTGGCAGCCGTAACGCTGGGGGTACTACATGTGTGTACAATCTCCCTCCGGGAAGAAGCTGGAGACTTGGTTTTCCTGCTGCAGTGAGCTGGGGAGTTGGCAGGGATGTGCCCACCAGCTCCTTCAGGCTCCAGGGAGGACCCTTCAGCCCCCACAGGCTGGTCAGCTGATTAGAAGCCAGACCCACAGGCAGCAGCAGGAAAGCATGCAGCTAGCACCTTCCAGGCAGAAACTGGGAGGGCGAGTTTTTCCTGCTCCCATTGCACAGCCCCAGGGTGTGGCTGTGGTGAGTGCCCACGTGCCCCTCTAACCGCTGCTTCTTTGTCTGCCATGGTCTGTGGGACTTGTGAGTGCCAAACTCCGTGGGCAATCTGAGCTAGGTGGCTGTCCCTCAGGTGGCAGTCTTAAAAGTTGGGGTGCTAGTTGTCTGGCCCAAACCCTTTCCTCACAGGGAGAGCTAGGAGTTCGAGGATTCCCTTCTGACTGAAAGGCCCTCTGATGAGGGTGGGGCTTATGGCGAGTGTGAGCCTCAGTCCCTCCTACCCACTTCAATATGAGTCTCCGGATACGTAGGAGTTCCTCAGGTTCTGGATTTCTCTCAGAGGGAACTGACCCCAAAATGCCTTTGTTCTCTCCAGGGCCAACCTTATGAATGTGTGACCATTTTAGTCACAGAGCCCCCATACTCAGAAGGGCTCCACTCGTAGAGTGGCCCCATGCTGGGTCTAATGCTCTGTGGTCACTCTCTTGAAATTCTTAATAACTTTTTAACAAACAGTCCAACATTTTTGCTTTGCAATGGGCCCGACAAATTCTGTAACTAGTCCTGGGTTCCTCTACGGCCGAAACGGGCAGGATCTCTTCTTATCTGGACTCTCTGGAGGTTCAACAGGGGCAAGACAATCACGTGGACTTGCTAGACAGGGGAAGGGATGCGCACGGAGCACGAGATCCAACTTGATTATCCGATAGGTGAAAAAAGAAGGCCACAAAGTTTTGACAACCTGCCTGAGGCTACTTGCTCAAGTCAGAGCTGAAACCAGAAAGCAGATGATCAGACTCCTGGCCTCTCTTTCAGCCTAGTTCCTCTTCCATAAAATGGAAATTATATACTGATTATGATTCATCCCCCTCTAGACAGGGAGACATGAATAGTAATAAGAACTAATTAACTGATCCGAAAATTACTTGTTTGTGGATCAATGAGATGTTTGGGTTAAATCTGATCTGTGTAGAAATATTATAACTCCTCTTATTTTGAAATCAAAATATATTTTTTAATTTCTCTTTGAAGTCATTTAGATGAAATTACAACTTTTGCCGTATAGTATATCTTCCACTGACATAACATAGTCCACTGTTTGTTACGGCATAACCAGTTGCTATAGAAAAGAAATGACTCACAATAGAATTGTGACTTGGAAGAAAAAATGGACAGATAACATTTAAGTGTTATTAATTAATCTAACTGAGAGTTGGCAAAGCAGGGCTGCGAGTGTATCACAAATACAAGAGGGTCAGAGGAAACATGGAAATAGTTCTCCAGGATTTTTTCAAGTTGTTAAAAGGAATTACAAACTTCATGCCACTTTTTAGAATAACTTTGAATAATCACTGCACTTTGAGTTCAGGACCTAGAAGGAGCAAGTCATGGGACAGTGGATTTTGGTTCTATAACTGGCACATGTCCTGAGGCAGTGGACCTAAGACACATTTAAAAATATCAGGGTTCCAGGCTACCATTTTCCTTGTACTTTTTTTCCTTCTAGAAAGTTATTTCATGGAAAATTCTGAATGCCTAATTCCTTCAAATTCTTACATTCTTGTAGACTAGAGCTCGGCAGTAGGACACAGGCAGATGACATGACTGTGTATGGAGTGAGACTTAACACTGTCAATGCACAGGTAACAAGAAAGCGTCTCACATCCAGGTACTGTGCGGGGAGAGACTACAGATTCAAGGTTTGATATCTCCAGGCTGTAGGAAATGTCCTCACCAACAGATATACGCGTAATTTTGCATTTGGTATATGGGAAAAAACTTAATAATATTAACCCCCCTAAATGTACCACCATCTTAATTTTTTTTAAATGTAGTAAGCTTACTCTATCTACATAACAAAGTACTGTGATGGGCATTGTAGGGGAGAATATGCAAAGAAAACAAAGACACTGCTCTGGCTCTTCGAACTTATCTAGTTGGATAAAGAAGAGAAGCATAAGCAGCTAATACAGACTATGGGCTGGTTACACACTGAGCAGTGAAAAGTCAGTCAAAGGAGTAACCCATGTGGGATGGAGTCAGACTGTGAAGACTTTTGGAGACCTGGACCTTGAAGACATCAGACGTATATTAAAGCAATCTGTGCAGAACCCCAAAGAACTGGATTGGGATAAGGGTCAACAAAAATCAGAGAAGTCTAAGAACTTTATGCTTAAATTCAGGACCCTGTGAGCCTCCCCTGACATGGCCATCCATTCTTCTGACTTCCTGTGACACTGCCTTACCCAGCCACCTCCCTCCAACCCCCTACCCCCACACCATGCCATGCCCATAAGTCCAGTGTATTTGCAGGGTCAAAAAAATAAAAACAGCTGCCTGGAAAGACTTGACAGTCTGAAGGGAAGAGAAACAGTGTAAAACTTACATATTCTGAGTCGTCTTTAAGAAAATAGCGATGAAGGCTGTATTGCTACATGAGATGCTTAGAATATCCTTGGCACATAGTAAGCACTATATGGGTATTAATTATTATTAATATTAACATTATTAATGACAGCATCGGTATAAATGTGATATACTATAATATCGATGATATTATTATGAACAACTGTTATTAATTCTGCTTCGTTGAATGCCTTTTATACCACTCATTACTTTTTTTAAATTGTGGTAAAATACACATAACAAAAATGGCTGAAACGGTCAGTTTTGCAAGGGCACAGCTCAGTGGTGCGAGGTGCAGCCTCCATTACCTTTTACAGTTGCTCTATTTCTACAGTGCTGTGCAGCCTCCATTACCTTTTACAGTTGCTCTATTTTCTACCTGTGACTCCAAGCTTTTCCCAGTAGGTGGCGCGTCTGATTTAACTGTATACCTAGCCAGAGTTCTGCGGACCTGAACACAGAGGTCAAGCCCAAATTATCCAGGCTGAACGAAGATTGAACAGCTTGCAT